TTTGTCCGCTAACCTTCTTTCTGTGCGCCGGCTGCAGAAGAGCAAGGCTAAAGTTACCTTCGGTCCAACCAGCTGCCGTGCAAAGCTTGGGAAATTGCTGCTGTGGGATTTGGAGGAGAAGAGCAGCTGCATCAAGGACCTATGGCAGCTGCCCATTATCCCTTGGAACGGGAAACTACCAGCAACGGCAGCAGCAACAGCAAAGGCAATTGCAGGAGGAGAGGAGACTGCACCAACTGATGGGCCCCTGGATGCAGTCAAGAAGGTGCAGCAGCAACAGTAACCACATGGTGAGGTGCTTGCTGGTGTGGATGTGACAGCTGCATGGGCAAAGGCTTCATCTGGGAGTGGTGAGGCTGATTGGGAGACGTGGCACGAGAGGCTGTGTCATGTGAATTTTCCTATGCTGCAGAAGTTGGTGAAGGATGGGAGCTTGAAGGGGTTGGAGGTGAAAGGGGCAGTGAAGGAGATTGGGAGCTGCCCTACATGCCTTGAGACCAAGTTCACAAATTTTCCCTTCAGCAGCGGCACGGGACCAGCCAAGGCCCCGCTCGCGCTTGTGCACATGGATGTGGTGGGCCCTACGAGGGCCCCTTCTCTCTCGGGCAGCCGCTACTTCTTAACCATTGTGGACGACCACATGCGTGCCGTGTGGGTGTACCCTCTCAAGACTAAGGGGGAAGTGGCAGCGGCTGTTCTTAAGGAGTGGATGCCAAGAGCTCAAAGGGAGAGCGGACACAAGGTGAAGGTGATCCGCACTGACAACGGGGGAGAATTCATTGGCGCTGATTTTGAGGCGGTGCTGAAGAAGAAGGGGATCTAGCATCAGCTCACGGTGCCTTACAACCCTCAGCAGAACGGCGTGGCTGAGCGCTTCAACCGGACCCTGCAGGAAGGTGCTCACACTCTCCTTGGGCGTGCAGGGCTGCCGGATCCGTTTTGGGTGACTGCATTGCGGCAGGTCGCCCTTGTGAAGAACAAGGTGTTGGCGACTGTGGGGGACAATCAATGGGTCCCCTACACCAAGTGGTATGGGAGTGCACCAGCAATCAACATGCTGAGAGCCTACGGCTGCATGGTGGTGTTTCATGTGCCTAAGGAGAAGAGGGGAAAGTTGGAGGCTTCTGGGAGATGGGGAGTACACTTGGGGCTTGCTAAGGATCACAAGGGCTGGTTGATATGGGACTTGACCAGCCAGTATCTGACTGTGTCAAGGGATGTGAAGTTCCTTGAGTCCTTATACTACAAGGAGTGGAAGCAGCAGCAGCAGAAGCTTTCTACTACACCGCTGATCATTGAGGCTGATGAGGTGCAGCGGCCTTCGAGGCAAGTGCAGGTCACTGTCTCAGATGAGATCTCTGGGGTGACTGAAGATGGGGGAGAACCTGAGGTGGAGCAGCAGCAGCAGCAGCAAGATGCTCCACCACGTACCCAACGTCCGCCAGACCGTCCTAGGAGGGATGTGCGCCCTCCTAACAGGCTGACCTATCCTATCTTTGGAAAGCCAAAGGTGGTACAGGCTGGGAGTGTGGCTGAGAAGTGTGATGAGGATGAGATAGCACACTGCTACTGGGCAGCCGTTCCTGAGCCCAAGACGCTAGCTGAGGCCTTGAGTGGGCCTGATGCTGAGAAGTGGAAGCAGAGTGTGAAGGAGGAGTATGACTCTCTGCCGGAGAATGAAACGTGGGAATTGTGTGAGCTGCCTCCTGGGAAGAAGGCAATCTCTTCGAAGCTGATCTTCAGGCACAAGTATGGACCTGATGGAGAGCTGACCCGCTACAAGTCAAGGCTTGTGGCTAAGGGGTTCCAGCAGACAAAGGGGAAGGACTTCGATGAGATTCTTGCTCCTGTGGGGAAAGGAACGACACTGAAGGTGTCGTTGGCAACAGCTGCAAACCGCGGATGGAGGATCAAGCAGATGGATATCACAACTGCTTTCCTCAATGGGATCATTCTGCAGGAGCTGTACATGCAGCAGCCTGAGGGGTTGGATGATGGGAGCGGCAGGGTGTGCAGGCTGAAGAAGGCCATCTATGGCCTGAAGCAGGCTCCTCGTGCATGGTACCACAAGCTGGAGGAGACACTGCTGGCTGGGGGGTTCAAGAAGAGCGAGTGTGATCACAGCTTGTTCCTGCTGCAAGAGAAGGAGCAGTTCCTCATGCTCCTGGTGTATATGGATGACATCCTTCTCTTCTCTGAGTCGTCTGCAATGATTGAGCGTGTGGAGAAAATGCTGGAGATGTAGTTAAAGTGCTCGAAGATGGGAGATGTGAAGTATTACCTTGGGATGCATGTGGAGAGAGACTTTGACAAGGGAGTGTTGAGGTTGCACCAGAGGAAGTACTGTGAGGTGCTGGCTGAGAAGTATGGGCTACAAGATGGAGGAAAGCTAGCCACCCCACTACCTTCGGGTTTCATTGTGGAGCCCTGTGCTGATGAGGAGGTGGTGGGTGAAAGTGACAGGAAGCTGTTTCATTCCATGGTTGGGGCACTCAACTATGCGGCTAACCACACGCGGCCTGACATTGCCTTTGCTACATCCAGGCTTGCCAGTGTGGTCTCATGCCCCAGTCATGAGCAGCTAGAAGCGGCCAAGAGGTTGGTCTGCTATGTGAGTGCTACAGCATCTGTGGGTTTGGATTACAGTACTGTGAGGCAAAGGCAGCAACGGGGTGCTGCTGATTTGGGCAAGGGGGAGATGCTCTTGACTTGCTACACCGACGCTAGCTTCAACCCTGTGAAGGCGGATGGCACCAGCATTGGAGGCTATGTGTGCCTGTTTGGAGGTGGTGCAGTGAGCTGGCGCAGCAAGAAGCAGAACGAGGTGGGGCTGTCCTCGTGTGAGACCGAGTACATGGCCATTCATCATGGGGCTAAGGAGGTGGTGTGGCTGAGGCGTTTGTTGAAGGAGATCGGAGTGTGCCAGAAGGAGCCGACTGTGATGTTTTGTGACAATGAGTCTGCTGTGAAGCTTGCGAAGAATGCTTGACTTCATGGCCTGACAAAGCACATTAGGCCAAAGTGGCATTGGACGAGGAGGCTCCTGGACAAGGAGGTGCGGCTGGAGATTGTGAAGACCCATCAGCAGGCGGCTAACATTCTCACCAAGCGCCTGGCTGAACCTGAGCACTGGAAGGGCATGAAACTTGCTGGGATGAGTGTGCATTGATTGTGCATGCATGAGCTGAGGCATGTGAGGTGATGGTAGGCAGCCAGAGGGAGAGTTTGTTATGTGATGCTATCATTTGCATTCACGTCTGTCTGCCTCCCATCATATGTTCATGCATTGCATGCGTGGTGTGTGCAAGAATCTGTGTTTTGTGTGGTTTGGATTTTCTGAGTGTGTGTGACTGCTATTTGGCTTGAGAAGATATCTGAAGTGACTCCTCTGCTCGAGAGCTTCCCGACGAACCGAGAATCGCCGCGATCGAAGCAAGAACAAGAAATATATGATTGTTCGAAGTTTTTTTTTTATTGTGATGCAGCGACTAAGGGAATTTGCGGGTTGACTCAATATGGGGTACAGACTTTTGGGGGTTGGGAAATTCGTCACCATCACTGTAGATGATGCCAAGTGGTTGGGAGAAGCCAAACCAGGTTGGCAAGTGTGGCCAAGTTGGGTGAGGTGGATGACATGAGTTGGGAAAGTGACAAATGTCAAAGTTGGGGTGCCTATAGAGAGGGGAATTGTGTGGTACGGGGTTTCCTTGGTTGGGGACTCCCTTGGGACCTTTTCTCTCGTCCTCTTCATTCCCTCCTACCTGGTTCAATTGCTACTCCAACTTTCTTGTGTGAACTTGTGAGACAACTTTGTGATTGAGTTAAGTTTCTATGGCAGCATACCCCCTAGTGCGCCGAAATTCATAACTCAAGATGTAACCCATATTTTGATACTATTCAAATTGGGAAAGATAGCCACGGTCAAGGGCTACAACGTACTCAAGTTTGAGAGAATTGTGACAGAGCATTTTTTGTCGACGACGTTTCTTGTGACGACGACTTTTCTGTCCAGAATTTTAGTTGACGATTTTGAGATATTTCGGCCCTTAATCTTCATAGACTCCGTCCTTAGTCTCTAACAGTAACACACCCTCTGTGACTGTGGTAACACACCCTCTGTGACTGTGGTAACACACCCTCTGTGATTGTGGTAGCACACCCTCTGTGACTGTGGTAACACACCTTCTGTGACTGTGGTAACACACTGCCCGGGACTGCGAAACACACTCCATGGAGCTGTGGTAACACAGCATCACATGTTACAGATGCCTCCCCTTCCTTTGTCATTCGCACCCCCCATTGCAATCTGCACCCATGGCATTCAGCCATCACCCATCTTTCCCCCACAGCAGGATACTCCATGTGCAGGGAGCAGAGAGCATTCAAGGGCTTCACCACCCATCATCCCCCCCCACCCATCATCCCCCCCCACCCATCATCCCCCCCCACCCATCATCCCCCCCCACCCATCATCCCCCCCACCCATCATCCCCCCCCACCCATCATTCCCCCTCCTTCTCACCCCACCCATCATTCCCCCTCACCCCACCCAGCATTCCCCCTCACCATCTTTCCCACTCACAGCCCAGGCCAGAAGGGCACGCTGTGCGTGAGGTGGCGGTCACTCCTCCTCTCATGGCTCGCCCATGCCATGCATGGTAACTACCTGCTCCATCCTCCTCTAAAGGGTGTCAGAATGTTATATTTCTCTAGTATGCAGTGGGGTACTCTATAGTGAGTACAGCCCTGTTAGGGTTTGCTATATGTACTCAACTGCCTGCTAGTGAAACCCCTCTTTTCTGTTCTATCGTTTCTGCCTGCGATTCTGACAGCCTGCGATTCTGACAATGGGCCCTTCCTCCGCACCCATACCACCCTCCCAACTCGCCCATTCTCCACGCCAGGAAGACACACGCGCTCTGCAGTGCTCATGAGAGCAGAGGGCGATGAGATGATGGCAAGGTAGCGTCACAGCCCCACTGCTGCGGTGACTGCACTGCATGCGTACAACGACTTCCTCAACCATTCCCCCACCCATACCCTCCACCCATCTTCTATCCCACCATCCTCCCGTCCGCCGCCCCTGTTGGGAGGACGAGCTGTGCATGAGGGCGGAGAGCGATGGCAAGGTGGTGATCACTGCCAGGTGGCTCGCTCACTGCTCCTGTGACGTGAATGTGTGCATGCAACGGCTTACCCACCCATCCGTCCTCTCCTCTTGCCCATCCACCCCGCCAGGAGGACGAGCTGTGCATGAGGTCAGAGATCGACGGCAAGGTGGTGGTCACTGCCAGGTGGCTCGCCCACTGCCTCCGCCACTCCCGCATCCTTCCCCTCTCCTCGGTACGTTTAGGTTGTCCCACCTGCCCCACCTGCCTCATCTGCCCCACCTGCCCCACCTACCCCACCAACCCCACCTGTCCCAAATGTCCCACCTTTCTCGCCTTGACTTGTCTCCTACCTACTCCACCAACCTCACCTGCCTGCCCCCCCAGGTGCTGCATCGCCCCATGCGGTTCACAGGAGCCATTCTCGGTGCCGAGCGGCTGCTGCTGGGCGTCACAGGCTACAGTGGCAGCTTGTGGCGAGATGTGGTGGTGAGAACTGAAACTGCTTATAACGAGGTATTCAGGTACTTCTTAGTGAGCATAAAGAGCATGTGGCATTCCAAGCACCAAGCGGCTGGTGCCAAGCCTCACGGGCTACAGTGGCAGCATGAGGCGAGGGGTGGACTGTGGAGGTGAGACTTGTTTATAACGAGGCACGTCTTGGCGAGTTTTATGTAGTGAGTATGAAGCACGTATGGGAGCATCTCCTCTCATGTGGTCATCATTTCCAGTATCAGCATCATTTCACGTGTGCACCGCACCGCACTCATGCCTTCACTCCTTCCATCCTCCACCCCTTGTTCAGACCATGGCAAAGCTGATGGGTGCAAGATTCTCTTGGGATCTCAACACTGGTGTATGCACGCACCTCGTGTGCTACGAGCTCAATTCAATCGCCACAATTCAATCGCTCGTGAGCACCTCGTGTGCTCGTTGCCACAATTCAATCGCTCCGCTTCACCGCATTCAAACACACATCATCTATCCAGTCCAACCACTCGTGTCCTCATCCCCGTCACCCAGCATGCCATAAAGCCACTCGTCAAAATGTCAATCTCATTCGGTTTTCACCTCCCACTAGCTAGTTAGCATAGCACGCTCCTACGACTATGTCCTCCTCTCCATCTCCCACGTCGCCTTCCGTCCAGACTGTGGAGAGTGCGAGGGATCCTCCGGCTGCGTCACGGGAATACCTTCCCGATGTAGAACACCTAGAACACATCCCACCAGAACTCCCCCTTGCTGCACTCCCGGAAGGTTTTTTTTGCCCTACCCGGGAAAGTTTTTTAGTTGCCCAGAAAAGCGCATCCTGGATCAGACCCCTCTCGCGTTTAGCGTATATACACTAGCGTATATACGACACACGTATATACGCTAAACGTGTATAATCCATCATAGTGCCAAGGCTCTTCGTGCACTTGGGCCCACCTTTCGAGCCTCTGCCCTGCATGCATGCATATCCTGTTTGCGGTGCGCCTGGGTCATTTGTCCGCACTGCATGTGTGGTATATGGCACGCCGCTAACCTACTCTTTCGGTCCATCTCCCGCCTTTTGAGCCTCACCCCTGCTTGCAGATCCTGTTTGCGGTGCGCCTGGGTCGTGAGGCTGCTTGTGCCTTCTCACTTTGTGGTTTCTTTGCTGTCCGCAATGCACTGCACGTGTCCCCACTGCACTGCATGTGTCCCCACTGCACTGCAAGCTGCACGTCAACCTTCTGTTTCAATCCATCTCGTGCCTTGCGCTGCATGCGCCCCTTGAACATCTTATGTATCCCCGTGTACTCCTCTGCATCCCTGTGTTTCCATGTGCATCCCTGTGCCACCCTTTTGCATACCTTGTGAGAATTGAGAAATGAGTGATTGAACTAGAAACGAGATGGGTACAAGTAGAGAACACAAAAGTGTTGTACCCTCTAGGAACTACCCCACTACAGCCTAAACAGACTATAGCAGATATAAGTTTGACACACCCCCATAGGCAAAGTGGGGGAGAACAAGAGGTCACAAGACCAGTCAAGAAAGACAAAGCAAGCTCAGGGTGGATCACAAAGTCACCACGCAGTCTGAGCACAAGCAAAGGGCCACAAGGCCAGTTCACATGCAGAGTTATATAAAGGAAAGCAAACAATACAGTAAACACAACCTAGCAAGCGTAAGCATGCAGGTATAAGTATATAGAGTACAGTACAAGCAGAGTCAAGAAGTCAGCAAGTGAGGCACAGTAGGTACAAGGCCTAGAACAGTACAGAAACGCTGATGATCACAAGGCTGAAGTGCCTTGGTGAAAACATCAGCAGTGTTGGCCTGTGAGGCCACGTAAGCAAGACGAAGCTGGCCACGCTGCTGCAACTCTCGAGCAAGGAAGTAGCGCAGAGCAATGTGCTTCGTTCTGTGCTCCAGTCTGTGCTCGTGACGCAAGGCCAACATGGCCTTGTTGTCGACGTACAGAACTGGAGGAGAACGAGGCGCCTCTCCCAAGTCGATGAGCAGGTAGGTGAGCCAGCGAAGCTCCTGTGCAGCCATGGCCCCAGCGTAGATCTCAGCCTCACAACTGGAGCTGAGAACAGAAGAAGAGCGGGTAGACCGCCAAGAGACAGATTTGGAGCCAAGGCTGAAGGTGTAACCCTGTGACGACCGCTGCGTAGCCAAGTCGTCAACCCAGGAGGCGTCAGCGTGACCAGTGAGGACAACTCGAGCCCGTCCTCCAAGCACGAGCCCCATGTCCGATGTACTGCACAAGTATCGCAACACCCTCTTCGCAGCATCCCAGTGCACCTTTCGGTGTCTGCCGGGAGCCACGTAGCGAGCCAGAAGGCTGAGAGGGTATGCGAGGTCAGGTCGTGTGCAAGTCATCAGGTACATGAGGCAGCCCACAAGCTCTGGATACGGGCCACTCGGCTCTACGGACTCGTCCGAACGTGGAGCTGAGAGCGAGTGACCGGTAGGCAGAGGAGTGGACTGTGGCGAGGAGTACGTAAAGCCGAAGCGCTGAAGGACCTGCTGCACCATGTGTGACTGAGTCAAGGTAATGGTGCGCTGTGCTCTGTCCCGGGTGATCCGCAAGCCAAGATAGCTTGTCAGCTCACCCAGGTCTGTGCACGTGTGTCTCTTCTGCAGCTCCGACTTCACGTGGGCGAGTGCCTCAGTGTCAGCAGTAGCAAAGACGAGGTCGTCTACGTACACGAGAACGTAGAATGGCGGCAGAGTAGTGTCAGTGCGTAAGAACAGAGAAGGGTCAGCAGTGGAAGGAGCAAAACCAAGAGCAGCAAGAGTCGTCCTGAGTGTGTCGTGCCACTCACGGGGTGCCTGGCGGAGACCGTAGACTGGCCGCCGGAGGCTCCACTGGGTACCAGCAGGAAACGACCTAGTGAAGCCAGGTGGGCGGCGCTGCCAGATCTCCTCGTGGAGGCTGCCCTGTAGGAAGGCTGTGCTGAAGTCAAGCGAGTGGAGCTCGTAGTCACGCTGAGCAGCAACGTGCAGCAGTACCCGAAGAGTGGTCATCTTCGGGGTAGGGGAGAAGTTCTGAAAGAAGTCAACTCCCTGACGCTGACTGAAGCCACGTGCAACGTAACGTGCCTTGAAGGCAGGCGGAGAACCCGGCGGCCGCTTCACCCTGAAGATCCACATGCCACTGACGATGTTCGCCCCAGGTGGGGGAACCTCGTCTACGTAGGTGCCTGTGGACTTCTAGGAAGCCATCTCTGCGTCCATGGCTGCCTGCCACTGAGAGGAGTAGGGACCCTCTATCGCCTCTGCGTAAGAGCGCGGGGTCGGGATGTCTAGTGCATCCGGGTCTCCCTCAGGGGCAAGCAGCATGGACACGAGATGAGGTGAAGCAGCTGCAAAGCACTCAAGGTCCTCCTGTCTGTCCTCAAGGACGTCCGTGCCAAGAGCACACTCACCCCCGACGGACGGAGGACAGACAGACGCAGACTCAGCAACAAGACTAGCGGCGTAGTCTAGGCGACAGGCAGCAGCAAAGTCAACGAGCTCAGTAACAAGAGCAGACGCAGCAGTGGACTCAAACAGAGGGTCAGTGACAGCAGTGGCCAGAAAGCGCGTGACAGTAGGACTAGCAGCACGAAGGGAGTCAGGCTCCGGGTCCGGACCGTCAGGAAGAGAGGACGCAGGAGGAGACGGTAGAGGGACACGCTGTGGAGCAGTAGAAGGACGCAGAGTCATAGAGTGAGTGCCTGGGACAGGAGGAGGACGTGGACACGAAACACGACCAGCGCGAACAGTACGGACAGGCGACGCAGAACGAGGCACAGGTGACACAGGACGCGACTCAGGCTCACGACGCTCCGTAAGACCTCTAGTCGGTCCAGAGTAAGGAGAAGGACCAGGCAGCGGAGAGGCCGGCTGAAACTGCGACTGGGACTGGACAGGCGGTGGACTCAGGAAAGGAGGAGGAGGAACAGGAGAAGGCGGAGAGCCAAGAACCTGCTGAAGGAGCAGAACGTAGTACGGCCGCGACCGCGCAGCGCCTCCAGAAACAGCAGAGAAAGAACCGGTACCCTCAGCCCCAGGGTCTCCAGTCCCAGCAGCACCTCCAGCAGCTCCAGCACCAGCACCACCTCCAGCAGCGCCAGCACCTCCAGTAGCCCCAGTAGCACCTCCAGCACCTCCAGCAGCTACAGCACCAGCAGCACCTCCAGCAGCTCCAGCACCAGCACCACCTCCAGCAGCGCCAGCACCTCCAGTAGCCCCAGTAGCACCTCCAGCACCTCCAGCAGCTCCAGCACCAGCATCACCTCCAGCAGCTCCAGCACCAGCACCACCTCCAGCAGCGCCAACACCTCTAGTAGCTCCAGTAGCACCTCCAGCACCTCCAGCAACTCCAGCACCAACACCACCTCCAGCAGCGCCAGCACCAGTAGCACCTCCAGCAGCTCCAGCAGCACCAGCAGCAACTCGACAGCGCCGAGAGTACCACTCACGAAGCCGCTGTGGAGAGAGGGGCTCCCGCCGTGACGGGACACCTAGAGTACCTCCAGACTCAGTACCCTCAGGCGCCACACCCCCAGGCTCAGCACACCCAGTCTCAGCACCCCCAGACTCAGCACCCCCAGTCTCAGCACCCCCAGACTCAGCACCCCCAGTATCAGCACCCCCAGTCCCCGCACCCGCAGGGTCAGCACCCCTAGCAGCACCTGAGTCGACAGCTACCTCGACCGGCTCGGCAGGGTCTACCTGGGACACACCTGAGGGGGCAGGACCCTGGGGGGGGAGGGGGTCTACCAGGGGAGTACCTGGTGCCAGGAAGAGTGGCGGGGGGGGGGGAGAGGCAGTGCGGTAGGGAAAGAGACGGTAGTACGACACCGACTCGTCGAACGTGACGTCCTGAGAGGACAGAACACGACGCTAGGTGGGGTGGTAGAACTGCCACCCGGGTGCGTCAGGAGGGAAGCCAAGGAAGACACAGGGAACGGCACGGGAGGACAGCTTGTCCGCTGTAGTATCGCGGACAAAAGCTCGAGATCCCCAGACTCGGAACGCTGACGCATCGCCAACCTTCCCCGTCCACCTCAGTGTAGGTGTGGTCTCCGGCAAGGAGACACGAGGCTGAAGGTTGATCTGATGTGCAGCGTACTGAACCGCGAACGGCCACAGAAAATGGGGAGCAGCCGCATGGA